AATTGCCAGTATTTTGGGGGTTTGTTACTTCCATTTCAATGGCACCTCACAGAAATTCGTAGCATTTTGATTGAGTGGCTAAGTTTTATTTTTTTTATGATATGCTCCTAAAAGATATCTTCCAAAGAGAGTTGGGTTTAGTGCCATGCCTTTTTAAAAAAAATCATACATTTTTATAGGACTGAAATCATATATAAATATGTTTAAATAAATTATGTGTTTTTAAATCAGAATTGTGTTGTGCAGACCGATCTGACATTAAAGAAATAGGAGAGACATTTGGAAGTACAAGAAGACATTATTTATTATCATTATTTTGAACAAACAGACACCAGGAGTCAGAGAAGACGATTAGGTGACGACGGAGACGGAGAAGAAACACATTATCAACATGTCTAAGAGGTTGGACAGAGGTAAAAAAAATAAGTTGCAATCAATGGACTGGCTAACATTATGATAAAATAAACATTAAAGATTGTGAGCCTGTAATAAAAAAATGTATATATATATATTTCCCAAGTAATATTTAATATTATTTAACAATATTTAAATTGTTCACAGTGTTTACAGTGTTTACTATTATATTTTGTTCTTGATGAATTTCTTGGAATAAAGTTCAGTTTAGTCTAATTTTAGATATTTAGGCATTCCCAGTAGACATTTTGGCTGGTTGAATAAGTTTTTTAAAACTGCCTCGTCCCTGAAGATTAGAATATTAGTTTATGATTGTTTGTCAATATACACACAAATGTGATCTCAGAATGGAAAAACAGCATGATTAATAATGTTTTGCGTGAACAAAAAAAGCAGGTGAATACCGAATGAGAGGATGATCGGGTGCACGGTAAATATCCCTGCTCACTGTTGTGAGCGAGGCACAGCTGATGCAATGTGCACGAGTGCTTAAAAGCTCCCATTTCCTTGTGCAAAACAACCATGCCTTGAAATGCAAATTTTGCAATTGTTTCTCTTTGAAATAGACCGGACAAAAGCGGTGCTTGTGCACCCACAGCCCTGCTGCTTTTTAAAAGCTATTTATTTTTTTGTATGTAGCTGCTTTTTCTGCTTTCACTTTTGCTTTAACCATTCTTTGAACAGATTTTTACTGGGCCTAACATTAACTATGCACGTAATCATCTATTCACTAGCACACACAAAATGGGTTTTGCCTGATTTAATTTGCTTGCAGTTATGTTTTTGTTAATATGCCTTATTTATAGCCAGCAAGCTGAACTGACACTCTAAGCAAACGACGGAAGTGACCGGTTCACAAAGTGAAGAGAAGGGGGTGGCGGTCGTGAAGGAAAGTGAGGACCAGGGAGTAGGGGTGAGATGGTATGGGGCCGCCCTCACTATTCTGCCACCCTATGATAATTAGGTTGCCTCTATTGACGTGCCGTCCTTATCGTCCTTTACAATAACAATGTTTTCAAGAGTTCACACTTAGCTGATGATTGATTATAAAAGCTTGTTTGGCATGCTGTCCCGGGAGAGAGACCTGAGCTCATGAGATCCTCGAGCCCAGGGCTCCCTCCTGTTGCAAGGCGGGAGGGGAGTTGAGCTCAGGTAGATCTTGAGAACTCCCCTGCTGTAGTAACCAATGAACAGTAAGTGATTGCTCTTAAAGATAACTACGTACTAGAAGCATATCTATGGTGCCAATTTGGATTATTCAATTAACTTAATTGCATGTTTTTAGGCGGTGGGAGGAAACCGGGGAACACGGGGGAAACCCATGTGAGCACAAGAAGAAGTGCAAACTCCACACAGAAATGTCTGCTAGTTTGGTAAAGCCTGGAACCAGAGACATTCTTGCTATGAAGCAACAGTGCTATGCACTGGGCCACCGTGTCACCCGTCTAAGAAGAAGGAGGAGTAGAGGTGGAAGGGGGGACTCTTCAAAACGAAGATAGCAGTGGAATGAAACCCTGGGTATTTATAGTAGTTTAGGAGTCATCTGATTGGAGCATAGTGAATTGGATAATGCGGATCCAGCCGCTAGCAATCATAAGTACGTGATCCTCTCGAAATTTGTTTATACATAAACTTCACTTAATAGGAAATTAACTCTCTAATTATGTATAGTATTTATCTATAGAATAATTGTGATCTAAGACATTTATTCTGGAAAGACTACTGTGTGTACTGTTGTATTAGATAACTGAGAATATTTTTTTAAAATGTCAATAGTTTTTTAAGACCATTTTTGTTGAATGAAAACTGTATGTACTGTTGTGACAGAGCAGGTCTCAGCTCGCTTTGGTAGGGAAAACTGGTTTCGGGGACCACAAAAAAAAAAAAAAAAAAAAAAAAAAAAATGATGGCGTACTCGATAGCACTCCAGTGCAAAGTGTTTCATTTACAGTACTGGCAGGTGAAAACAGTCTATAGTAATAATAAGCTTGTTTTGACACAATTGTTTTTAAATTTGTGGCCAGGAAATAATTAGTGTGGTCAGATCTTAGAGGGATTACCGTAAAACTTGATGGTAGATCTTGGGTGTTAAGCCCTAAAAAGCATCCCAAAGTCAAATTTCGTCAAAAGTCAAAAACGTAGAGGTGTGTCTGTATAAACAGACTTTGGGAGTGCTTTAGACGACCAATCATTTCTGAAGACATGAAAAACAGGGCCAATGAAATGCCAATTGCCAATTAGGGCTATATCAGTCGGCTGTATGAGTTAGCTCGTCAGAATTTTGCCTGCTGAAGAGACGATCGCTCAGCTCCCAGCTGGAGACTCAGGTGCTGTGGCAGTGGAGACACACGTCTCCGTTCCCTATTCGAGGAACGTGGGTTATGTTCGTAACCTGGACGTTCCGCTTCAAAGGAACTTCGACGTGTGTCTGTATAAACAGACTTTGGGAGACTGTATGGAAAGCGCCACAGCAACTAAAGCCCGTCCTGATGTGCAGTTTGTCAAGCCAAAGCGTGAGCGCACTGACATTACCAAGAGCACAACCTTCCAACGTCCCCTAGTCCCAACATATTTGCATTACATGGGAATAAATGTTTAATGTTTAATCGGGGGGCGTAAGTGTGCTTTTACCTAGCTAATACGTTGGGAAAGCAACATTCCCCGCAGGGGGAGGATGCGGCGGAGACCACCTGCTACCCAGAAGGGGAGACCTGAGGGTAAAAAAGCATATGGACTAGCCCTAAAGAGGGGGAGTGCTACATATGATAAGCTGGTTAGCGGTTTAGGGAAGACACGGGACCGCCTGATAAAGGGGAACACACCATGGTAATAATGCATATGGCATCACCAAGTGGGGATGCACATAGCTGGCACCGATCCTCAATATGCGTGTAGACCAAATGGGCGTACCAACCACACACTGAGCCATGCATTCGACTCCTCCGCTGAGTCGATGCCGGGGGCCTCGGAGGAACTCTCTAGGGTTCGCCTGAGAAGGAAAACTTACTAGCAGAGTAGAAAAAAGGCACACTCATCTCTGGGTTAGGGAGCATGGCGCAGCAAGCATTTGTGACACCGAGCTTAACCCCCCCCCCCCCCCCCCATTCAACTAACCAGTGGGCCAACCTCTGTTTTGATACGACACTTCCTTTCTGCCGACCACCATAACAGATAAGAGCTGTTTACATGATCTTACATTTTACGTTTGTTCCACGTAAAGGCCTCCGAAGGCAGCGCTTGCAGGTTCACTACCTGATCTCTAAATGGGGTGGTAGGAACCTTGGGCACATAGCCAGGCCGGGATATCAGGACACCGTGAGTGTAACCGGGTCCAAATTCAAGGCACGATTCACTGATCGAAAATGCCTCCAGATCCCCAACTCTCTTGAATGACGCCAATGCGATCAGCAGAGCTGTCTTTAATGACAGAATTTTAGGAGATACTGACTCGAGTGGCTCGAACGGATCTCTCTGCAGACCCGCTAGGACTAGAGCAAGATCCCAAGAGGGCATGAGAGGGGGGCGGGACGGATTTAACCGCCACGCGCCTCTGAGGAATCGGATAATTAGATTATTCTTCCCGAGCGTGTTGCCATCCTCCGCATCATGATGAGCAGAGATTGCAGCCACACAAACCTTTAGTGTTGAGGGTGACAGCCTAAGCTTATCCTGAAGGAAGGATAACACAATGCTAATCTGACAAGTTCGGGGATCTTTTGGCGAGAAGTACACCACTCAGAGAATATACTCCACTTCAGGGCTTAGGCATGCCTCAGTGTGTGCTCTAGCCTGAATGATGGTGTTAAGTACCGCGGGCGTTCAGTCACCTAAAGGCTGATTTATACTTCTGCGTCAAACGCACGCATATGCTACGGCGTTGACGCATAGCCCTATGCCGTGACCGTCGGCGTCACTGACGTGCACCTGTCAAAAACACTTTGCAATGACGCGTAGCACAAGCTCTGTGAAGCCCGATGGAGCGATTTTTTTACAAGTGTGGAGTCTCGTGAAGGAGCTCCTGGTGGAAAGTTTTGTTTTGTGTTTACCTCATAGTTAAAGTTGTTGCACATCCGCCAGTTCCTACCTCAAAATGAGCGAGTTTTAGCCACTTGTACATTCAGAAAGTGTTCAAGGATAAGCAAAACACCAGCGAAAGAAACTCGACACAGAGGAGCATTAACACCTCACTGCCAACTAGCGTTTTGGAAGTGTTTCGGAAGTGTTAATGCAGACCATTAGGAAGGGGTAACACGGATGGATAAACACAAAGTCAAAACTTAAACAACAGCACGGGAAACACAATCAACAAAAACAACTTGGTAACAGAAATACCTTTATCACAGCAATTCTAAACCACACGCCAACAATACTCACTCTCCCGCCCTGCGCCCGATGTTCTCTTGTTAAAAGACGCCCTAAGTAACCTACTCCAATCCCAGTAGGTTCCAGCTCTGTTCAACACTGGGCTCTCAGAGGAGGAAGTGATGCGTCAGACTGTCCGCTGTGTGTCTCTCTGTCATACTGGAGTTCATGCTGTCCTCCTCATTGTTCCTGACGCTCCACTGACTGATGAAGATAAAGCAGAAATGGAGGAGATCCAGAAGATCTTCAGCTCCAGAATCAACAAACACATCATGATCCTCATCATGCAGAACTCAGAGCATCAGACAGCAGAACTCAATGAAGAAACACAGACTGTCATTCAGAGTTTTGGAGGAAGACATCATCACTTCAGTCCTGAAACACAAGTGTCCACATTGATGGAGAACATTGAGCAGATGCTGGAGGAAAACAGAGGAGGTGTTTACTCCACAGAGACATTCCTGGAGGCACAGGTGAACAAAAATTATGAAATATGAAGAGATGAAGAAGAAAATGAATTCACTGACACGAGGTATTGAGCAAAAAAATCTATTTGTTTGAAACTGAGTTTCCAACCAGAATAGCACCATTTTGTCTATAACTGTGTTTTATACATTTTTAAACAGCATAATGTTTAACAACAGAGCACTTTCCTCATGAAGAAGTGAATGGCAGATTCATGCAAAAGATTCATAAGATGGGAATTCCACTTTGGAGACCAGTCAATCGGACTTTGTTTAAAAAAGAGCCAATGGTATATAATGAGTAAAATCTGTATAATAAATCAGTCCTCTCAAGTGTGCAGACACTCACAAGATTGCCAGTTCATGGCTAGAATTCAGCTAGAGGTTCAGTGTTATGGAGAGACATAAGATCACTAACTAATCTATCAAAAGTTTATATATGGAAAAATTTAAAAGCAGTGGCTTCACTTGAAGCCATCACTTGAAGCCATATCCGCTGATACCGATCACTGATTACAGGGTCTTATTGAAGCCTTTTATTATTCATGTTTATAAATGTATTTTACAAATATCATATGACATCTGCATTTACTGACAAGCAAAATACTTATCTAAAACATTAGCTAACCAAACACATGGCTGCTATAAGAACAGTTTGGGGCAGAGATGCTGTTATGAGGAACATCTGCCATTTATACAATGTAAAGTGTTAAGATGCGATTCAGCGTATTTACAATGCTATATGACTGTAGCCTTCACCATAGCTCCCTGGCCTATGAGCTCGGTCGCTTAGCAATCTCAAATGCTAAAAGAGTGGAAGTTCGCAAGTAAATTGAACTTGGTGAAAAAAGCGTCACTCATCATGTTTTCAACAGTTTTGGATGAGATGTGTGAATGGCCCTAACGGCGTGACGTGAGCCTATTGAGTACTCCGGATTATGGATGGTATGATGCGACGGCAGTTTTTGTGTGAGCTCTTCAAACGGGGCAAGTAAAGAAATCATATTTTCCACTAAAATCCACAGGCTACCGTTGAGTATCCGGGATAAGTCTTTGTTGCATAAGCACAGAGTGTACGTTTCACACACGCTGTTAAAATTATCTCACAAGTTTTGCATCATTTGGATCAGCCTTCTTGGAGACCGCTGATCAAACTCCCCCAATCGATTATCGGCGAATTGTGATTGGTGACTGATCGATCAGAGCATCCTTATATAAAGTATGAATGGGTTACCTATAGGTAGGGATTCATATTCATAGGTACGCAATCCCAATATGAGGGTTGACGAGCACATATACTCTCATACTGGGCTGAAAATCCAACTCCCCTGCAGGGTCAGATGTCAGGGGCTTTTGTTTAACTCCCTAGGGTTCACCAAAAGGGGAAACTCACTAGTAGAGCTATAAAAGACATACTGATTTTTGTGTAAAGAAGAATGATGTAGCATGCATTAACTCTGAGGTCTGTTTCATTCTTTATTATCTAATGTTACATAATACATAGGAAGAAACTAGCTGCACCAAAAGAGTGTAAGGAATACGTTAAGAATATAAGTTAAGATGTGCAATGTGGAGCCCAGCATAATGCTTTGCAGATGTGTGTAAGAGAGGTGTCATGTGCTAAGTCCAGGAGGCAGCAAATATTTCATCTAGTGTGTGCTCTAGAAAGAAATTTCAAACACCTCCAGCCTTATCTTAGTGGCAGCCTAAGCACAGGTAGTATGTCCACCTTATGATCCATTTGTGCTTCCCCTGTATGAAAAGCGCAAATAAGGTCTTGCTAAGGCATCACGGGACAGAGTTTGGGCAACCCTGATCTAATTAGCATCTACACTCAAAAGTCCATTATTACAACATTCAAACCAATAATTTTGGATCACAGATCTACAAAAACTACATTATTATTATTATTGATTTTTTTTATTATTATTTAATTCTAACTGTAATAATTGTTTAAAATTCCAGGTTCAAGAGTAAACACAGAGGATGAGTTGAGGATTGTTCTTCTGGGAAAAACTGGAGTCGGGAAAAGTGCGACTGGAAACACAATCTTAGGAAAAGCCAAATTTACAGCAGAAACATCTCACCAATCAGTGACTAAAGAGAGTCAGAGAGAAACATGTGAGATCAATGGCAGACAGGTCACTGTGATCGACACTCCAGGAGTGTTTGATACTGAACTCACTGAAGAGGAGATCCAGAGAGAAATCAGACACTGCATCTCCATGATTCTGCCTGGACCACACGTGTTCATCATCGTGCTCAGTTTAGGACAGAGATTCACTAAAGAGGAGGAAACATCAGTGAAGATCATTCAGGAGACGTTTGGGGAAAACTCTCTAATGTTCACCATGGTACTCTTCAACAGAGGAGACTTCCTCAAGAATAAATCCATTGAAGAATTTCTGGGTAAACCTGGATCTCCTCTGATGAACCTGATTGAAGCTTGTGGACACAGATATCATGTGTTCAACAATACCCAGCCTGAAGAGCGAACACAAGTGTCTGATCTACTGGAGAAGATAGACAACATGGTGAAGGCAAACGGAGGAAGCTTCTACTCATGCAAGATGTTCAGAGAGATGGAGAGAGAAAAACAAGAACAACAGATGAAGATCCTGATGGACAGAGTCAGAGAAACTGAAGAAGAGATGAAGAAACTGGAGGAAGAGAAAGACAGAATGAAGATGATGATGATAGAGGAACGACAGAATCAGGAGACAGAGAGAAAGAGGAGAGAAGAAGAGTTCAGAGAGAGAGAAGAGCGATATAAAAGACTGATTAAAGAACAAAAGCAGAAGGAGAATGAACTGATAGAACAGATGAAACTGGAGCGAATGCAGAGACCAGAGGAACTAGACAGACTGAAAATAGAAGAAAAGAAAGAAGAAGAGAAACAGAAATCTGAACTTCACAAGAGACACCAAAGTCCCGTTAGTGATCACATAATGGGTAAGAAATAATCTTTTAAGTTACTGTCAAAAATTAAATGCAAAAGTTAATCTGTTTCTTTTGGACTTAAAGAGCCCCTATTATACATGAAATAGGGTCATATTTTGGTTGAAAGTGATTCAGACACCTCACCCTAAACCTAACCCAGTCTCCTGGATTTTCAGGGACAGATGTTGGCAGGTATGTGTGAGCAGTTAAACACCAGCATATTGCTCTATTCTTAACCACGACACACATTCAGTATTAAACCACACAGTGGCAAAAGCTGAACTATTCTGAAACTTGAACGTTGCATGTGTGTAGGAACAGCTGACGAACACAATTAAATACATAATTTGCAAGCTAGAGTAAACAAGGCAACAATTTTAAATCGCACATACTTACACTTGTGAGATGGAGGAAGAAATTGATCCATTATGCACTGATCCATGTTCTGACGTAGTCCATCAGTAGTCTTTACTGATCCTTCCTTTAACAAACGGAAGATGTATTCTCTGTTAAAGCATGTAGATTCCAGAAGCACTCAAACTGCACAAGGCTGGGCTATAATGCAGAGGTATTTTAGCAAAAATAAACCTCAACCACTGTGCTATGTCCGTAAAGATGACACGTAATGTCATAGAACATAAATACTTTTATTGTTGTCCTTCACATTTTCTCTTCACAACACTCACACTCACCAAAAACTCGTGATCCTGTCTAAAATCCACATAATCACACATTTTCCGAACACTTAAAGTGACCTGTGCTCTTTAATTATTATTTGTATAAATTAACACAATAATGATTAGCTAACTATGCAACACACTGACTCTTCACAGTTTCATCTTTGGGTGGAGAAAATAGCTCTAACCTTCCCCTCACACCTCCAGTAATATCCAGCTGAGCACAGTGTTGATTCAACCAGCATCTGCTACAGTTTGTCTAGCCTCTTTTTCTTTGTGTACTGTGCTTGTGGACGAGGCCGCAGGTTTCAAGACGATTCATTTGAAGCACTAGGAGTCAGCTTTTTTTTTTTTTTTATAAATGAATCAATAGTTTTAAAATAGGTGCACTTTCAGATTTAATCCTTAGCTCTAAATGAAGTGAAATATCCAGCTGTGTTATACACTACATGGAAGGTCATTCTGAAAAACCCATAATAGGAGCTCTTAAAATTCAAAACTTAAGTTGAACTACATTACATAAGTAATGCAGAATATGCTGTGTTGAATTATCTTCCACTGGTACTCAATAAGAAAAAAAGTAATATATTTATGAAACATCTTGACCAGGAAAAAACTCCATTAATATGAACTAAAGAAATAAAACTATTGGGATATATATATATATATATATATATATATATATATATATATATATATATATATATATATATATATATATATATATATATATATATATATGCTATCCAATTAGAATCATAGAAACAAAAACAATGAAAAACATTTTTGATATTCAGGAGCGTGAACAGATTAGGGCAGTAGTGGGTTGAGTTCAAGAGACTGTTTGCCCTTGACAAGCACCGGTTTTGGTTCTGGTGCCCAAGAGGTGTCTTTTTGACTCCAATAGATGTCTTTTTTTGTTGTTGTTTTAGTCTGATGCACTGTTATTAACATAAGTTTTTATTACTATATACGGTATTATCACTAATATGACCAATATTAAACAAAAGAAAAGTGTTCTGTGTACATCATAATGAATACATAATTTGATGGGCATAGATGAGAATAGTGAACATGTGCACTGCATTAAATCAGGAGGAGCTTGCTAGTAGTGGCAGCTTGATGCTGTCATCAGAGGTGGAGCGGCAGCTAGAAGCAGTCAGGTTGCCGCTTCGTCAAATTTTAAAGAAATTACCTAATGAAAGGAGCACAGTTTTGCGTAATTCAGAAAAATTGAGCCACGAAAAAAATCTCTGCATTGAATGATTGAACCCCTTATTCGTATTTATATATGTTTAAAACTTTAGTAGGCTTGCTGTGCACAACATAACAAATGATATATTACGTAAGTGTTTTTTTTATAGTATAAATTATTATTTAGTATTTTATATTTGTATTATATTTAATAATTTAATAGTAAATAATATTATATTAAGTTTATTTAGTATTTAGTTTAAGTTGTTATTCATTAATTGATACAATTAGAATGTTAAATTAATATTAAATTGCAGCAACTGAGATGCATCACGTACCCTTGCCTTATGATGGCTTGTGATGTCTTTGATGTGTTGTGTTTGATTTTAATGATTCTGTTTTGAAAAGGTGCAAAAGGTGCATGATGCATCTCTGTTGTTATGCTGTAATTTAATATTAACAAATATTGTTTAACAAATAAAGACTGATCAAAAATAGAATAAAAAAATTAAATAAAACCAACAGATACATCCCAGAGAGAAGAAATATGCCAAGCTTATCTAACTTTGCGTTTCATTTTGCATTAGCTATATTATCCAATAAGGCTTGTAATAGCTCATAATATCCTCTAACATATTATTTTTTTTACATTTTAGAAGAAGTAAAAACTTGTAATGACATAGGATATTAGATAAATGATTTTCTGTCTGGGGACAGAGGGAAAAGCGCTCTGCAGGTGGAAAAGAGCACTTGTAGTTGGTGTCCTGAGGTGAAATCTTCCCACTGACATGGGACAACAGCTCATCAATTGGGACCAGCTCAGTCAGAAGTATTGCTAAACAGCAGCCATCATCCAAGCGCAGCTCCTTGGTGTACCTCTGATGGCAGATCCTTCAGCTCAGCTACCCTCTCAAAAAAGTAAATGTCAGCCTTTTTTGCATCAAGACTAGAGCCGCCTGACTGATATCCCTCTCTTGACACAAATTAAAGTATGTTGCGAAGTGAATTTCACGTGTGAGTTTACGTCAAGTCAAAATGTTCAAGTGTCTAATAAACACATACAGACTTTTAATTTGCGGAAATTTTTTTGTAAAGGTATCATGTGTGAACAGGCCCTTTTTGTAAAATATCAGTAAATTCGTTCCGGCATTTTTCCGGAAAGAGATCTTGTAACATTATTTGCCGGAATGCTGCGTTGTGTGAACGCTGAAGGAAGATTGTCAGAATGAGCGTGTTCACACTTTAGCCAATCAGAACGCTCAGACGCATTCACATCCATACTGTTTATGAAAATAAAAGCCTTTGAATCCTTTTCCAGACACATTTAGCTCCTAGTTGTAAGTCAGATAACGTTTCTATGTCCCTCCTAATGCCAACTGTGTAAAAATAATTGATAAAATGTTGATGGTTAACCACTGTGAGCTTACCTGCAAGCTCTGCGTTCTGCTCCATAATTGATTAAAACATATGGAGGAACACTTTCGCATGTCGAGATGTAGGCCATATTTTATTTGTGTGCTAGCTCGCACTGAAGTTGTCCACAACACTTATCTATACACAGAATTTGCATTGCAAATAGTACTAAACCTCAACACAAAGCCTGACCTCTTTCAAATGACAATATATATATATTTTGTTTACAAACAGAAGCGCAGCCGTTTAGAGCTCATTTCTGGTTATGGATGTCAGAATTTACTGGTATTTTAAAAGAGATGTGTAAATGCTCTTTTCCAGAAAAAAATCTGTAACTTTGTCACCTGTTTGAACAAAGCTTTTATTTAATTTACCGGTCAAGTTGTTCTGGAAATTATCCGGATATTTACTGGTGTAACTGTGCAAAGGGACCTATTGTCTCCGTTCCCTCCTTCATCCATCTGTAACCAGGACATTGTTTGACTAAAAGCATAGTCCATGTTATATATCTATTCATTATGGAGGGTAGTTGACCCATAAAAATGTTCTTGTAAGAGATCTCAGGAGCATCCAGGCCCGTATTGGCTAATTGGGAGGACAGGGAGAATTCCTGGTGGGCCAGTCCGTTTTTTGGCCACAAGGGCCGGTGTCCCTAGCTGCTTGCACTCTCAGCAGTCACACTTTTTTTCATTTATTTCTTTATTTGACCATAGCTTCACTCTTTTATTCATTATTTTGCTGCAGCTCCACTCTTTTTATTTATTTTCTCGCAGGCCCATGAGCAAAATGCATCCCGCAGGTTAATGATGACAATCATTCAACCCCAAACAGCAACACCTCAGTGAATATAAGAATTTGAATAATTATTATTAATGAATAATACACCTGCTCAATGAAAATCAGATGATTCACTCCATCAATAACTCTGACATAACTTGATCAGAAATCTAAAAAAAAAAACATTAAGCATCAATAAAAAACAATACGGTGGATAAAAGAGTCTTGCAGATAGCAGTGGAATATTTATTTTTCATTCCGAACACATCAGTGTAGCAGTGCTGTTGTGGTCTGGTGGTCAGCATGTTGCGGTACTATACCGCTGACCCGAGTTCGAACCTCACCTTAGTAGTTATTATTATTATTATTTTATTTTTTTAATTTTTATTGTTAAGACATATAATACTGTTAGGGTTGTTGAACATTTGAAGTTCTAAAGCAGCTGTTTTCTTAAAAAAGAGTGATAGTGTCATTAAAAACTGAATTGGAAATTACCTTTTTTTAATATAGTCAGTCGTGAACTGAGGTGGGCCGGTATAAGGCTTGAAACACTAGGGCTGAAAAGGAGTCCCACTCTGGCCCTGGGAGCATCTGTACTACAATTAATCTTTTGTTTGAAGTTAAATAACCAGGAAGTCTAGTCCAGTCTCACATGGATGTTGGTTCCTGATGCACTAAATCAGCAACAAAGCAGATCCATACCCTTAGTAGATTATTGGCCACCTTATCGCCTTACCTTTTTGGACCTCAGTTGTTGTGATCAAAGTAATTCTGATCATAGGTGGCAACTTATTTATTGGTCTCTAAAAACTAAAAACTAGTGATAAATATTCTTAGTTTGCCAGCCCTGTGAGAGGGGTCTGGATGCAGACCTGACATTGCATCGCTGAGTCCAGAATCAATTGAGCCATGTTCCTGTTTGCTGTATAATCAGTCTTCCAAATTAAAATATATCTGACTAAAGCAATCTGCTCATCTGTAGATTCATGACCATAATCTGCTTTGTTAGAAAAGAGAAACATGTTAATTGTGCAATTATGAAGGTTTCAGAAATGAGCTTGGAAAACACTCTGCTTATCCTCTGGTTCCCACAGCTGCTCCACTTTTTGTCCTCAAGCTGCTCCTGTGTGTAGGACTAGTTTCTTATACAATAAATCCAAAGCCAACTGCATAAATAATTCCATCTGTTTGCATCATACACAGAGAGTGTGACCAGATGGAATTCTGAGAGACCGAACACAGCCCATGATCAACAGACTGCTCCAAGACTCTCCTCCATCAGGATTGTTCTTCTTGGTGACCGTAGTATTGGTAAAAGTGCATCTGGAAACACAATCCTGGGACAGAAAGTGTTCAGATCTGAGAGGAGCAGTATGTTTGCAGTAACCCGTGAATGTTCAATTGCTGAGGCCACAGTTTCAGGCAGATCTGTGTCTGTAGTCGACACTCCTGGATTCTTTCACAGACATAAGAGACCTGAGCAGTTAATGATGGAGATCAGCAGATGTGTGTGTTTATCCTATCCTGGACCCCACGCCTTTCTCATTGTATTTACTATATATATGGGAGTCACTAAATATGAGCTGCAGTTTCTTCAGAAGATTGAGCAGATGTTTGGTGAAGAAGTGTTGAAATACTCCATCATTCTCTTCACTCATGGAGATCTGCTGGAAGGAGGGTCTGTAGAGGAGCTGATAGAGGAGAACTGTACAGCAAGATCTGTAGTCCAGCAGTGTGGAGGCAGATATCATGTGTTCAACAATGAAGATGTGAATAACAGAGAGCAGGTGGAGGATCTACTGCAGAAGATTGACTCAATGATACAGCAGAATGGAGGAGGACACTACACTAATGAGATGTTTGAAGATGCTCTGAGAGCCAGACAAGAGGAAGAAGAGCAGAGACAGAGAGAAGAGCAAAGAAAACTACAAGAGGTGGAACGGAGACAAGAGGAGCTTGAGAGAGTGAGAAAGGAGTCAAAGGAGAGAGTCAGAAAATTATTTAATAGAAAATAGTTTGCTCTTTAGGTGGCTCAGCAGTGTTGCAGTGTGGCCTCACGGCAAGAAGGTTGCTGGTTCGAGCCTCAGCTGGGTCAGTTGGTGTTTCTGTGTGGAGTTTGCATGTTCTCCTCGTGTTGGCGTGGGTTTCCTCCGGGTGCTCCGGTTTCCCCCACAGTCCAAACACATGCGTGTATCAATAGTATCTGGGTGTTCTCAGCACAGTGCATAAAAAAACATATGCCAGAGTAGATGGTGGTTCATTCTGCTGTGACTACCCCTAATAAACTAACAAATTTTCCTACGCCAAATGAAAATGAATGAATAATTTGCACTTATCAATTGTTGATTTGGAGTAATGATTTTAATAACAAGCAAAACAGATAATATAAATATACAGATAGACACAATAATTGTTTAAAAGTTACTGTTTTTTATTGCGAAATTGTTGTATGTATCTGCTTATAGTCTTGTGGTAATGTCACCTGTGCAATATACCTATGCATGCATATGGAAGTTAAATAGAAAAACAGGAAGCAAAGTCTCTCTGTCTGGTGCAGGGATGCAAATTAGTGCAAAAAAGTAATATTTGAAGAATTACATGCCAGTTGAAATAAACAAGATATAATTGATACACATATCTCAGATCTGCAGGTACAAATGCGTGTGGTTAATCCACCTGTACTGTGACACAAAGATGTTAATAATAACACACAACAGGAGAATGATCTGAATGATGCAGATTTTTTTCTTCTTGAGATTCACCTACATTGAAAGAAAATATTAAAACACTAAACCTTAAATAGATAAAACATTGCTGTTTCATTACATCTGTTTTTTTTTTCACAGAAGTTAATGAAAATTAATAGACAACTAACCTGTACTGTAGATTGTAACTATTAATTTGTCTTGTGTAAATGTAGTTTGCAATATTTCACTGTTCATCTTCCGGAATGGCTCAGTTGTTTTGTTTATTCTGTTTCATTTGTTGTAATATGTTGTGAAAGTAATTTAAAGCTAAGTCAATATGCAACTATTAATGTTTGGGGTAAGTCGATTGAAACAAATACATCATGCAATGTTGTGCTAGTTTATTGTTTATTAATACAAGATTATGATTTATATCACTGGTATCTGAGAGCTTTTCTCACTGGTAACTGTCTCTCAATATTAAAGTCTTGTGTTGTTAAACCTCTTTGATTGTTCAAGGTTTATCATGATGAATTTCAATGTTTTCTACACTGTTTATATATATATATATATATATATATATATATATATATATATATATATATATATATATATATATATATAGTACTTATTATCAATCAATCAATCAATCAATAAAATACACCTGTGTATAAAAACATTTATTTTACTGTGCTTTATTATAAAGTGTTATTTGACAGCTGCATTTATCAAAATTATTACTGTTATGGATATAATGAAGGTCTGGGGCGCTGCAGGGGTCAAGGGGAGATTTCGCTAGTAAATAACATTTAAAGATTGTTTCAAGCCCTTCCACAATGTATACCTGCAAACACCTAAAACATAAACACAAGTTGCATAAGATTATTTTATGGTATGTTTGTATCGATACTATTTAAATAAGCAATTATAACTAGAGGGTAATTATCTATTTATTTGCATGAAGAGAAAAGATATTGAGGGAAGAAATTTTACTAGATTTTAAAGAGCCCATATTATACATGAAATAGGGTCATATCCTGGTTGTAAGGGTCTCCAACAACAGTTTAATATGCATGCAAGGTCAAAAAACACTTTTATGGTCTTATAATCTGCATTTATTTTTACCTAATTATCCCAGCGACTCCCGTATGAATCGTCCAGTGATTCATTTGTTCCCAAACCCCTCCTTAGCGCCAAGCTAATCTGCGCTGATTGGACCGATGACAGTGTGTTGCGATAGGTCGACTGCCTTCAGTCAGAGAGGGAAATGGCCAACAGCTAATCAGCAATATAAAAGTAATCACAGTTCATACACGCTAGATAGTGTAGGCGTGGATTTTAGCTGCCACACACACACAAAAACACACACACACACCTCCAGACGACAACGCTCCCGCTTCCGCCCGCACCCGCCAGGTTTTAGCCTGAGAACCCGCTCCGTTTTCTGCCCGCCGCGCCCGATCCCGCTAGAGCGGAGAACACAACCAAAAATCACCCAGTATACAGTCCAGACAGCCAAGCTGTCTGTATAAACACACACACAGCGCCAAGCACACAAAGCTCGCTCTCGCTCGCTCTCTCTCTCTCTCATACGCACGCGTGCGCACTAACACACACACACACACACACACACACACACACACACACACAAGCACCAAGCAGACTCTCTCTTTCTCATTCGCATAGCAATATCCACGATATTGCTAGACAGCCCGCTCCCGTCCCAAATTAAACCTGTTACCGACCGCTCCCGCGATTTATTCGGAAATTTATTCCCGCGTAGCAGAAATCTGGCGCGGGGACAGCCGCGGGAATGCAGACCTCTACCACGGAGCTCCATAAACAAACAGCACGCGTCGCGTTTTTAACGTGACTTTGCACGCGATAAGAGAATATAGCCAGTTAACCTGATACAGTACACGCGGTTACAAGTAACAAATCACAACTAAATACATTTGCAAGCTCGAGTCAACGAGGCAACTTTAATCGCACGTACTTACACTTGAGAAATGGAAGAAACCCATCCTGACGTCCATCAGTAAGTTACTCTTTACTGATCCTTCCTTTAACAAACGCAGATGAAGTATTCTTTGTAGCATGTAGCTTCCAGAAGTTTCCAGTAGTTTCCAACTGCTTGGCTATAATGCTGAGGTTTCATCTTTGGGTAGAGACTCAATATATCCATCTGCAGTGTGACTTCAATCGACCGGCATGTTTGTGTGTGTGTGTGTGTGTGTGTGTGTGTTTGTGTGTGTGGGTGTGTGTGTGTGTGTGTCTGGGTTTCTGCGTCAGAGGGCGGGGCCTCAGGTTTGAAATCTCCCGGGTTTGCGCGTGCACGTGAATAACTTGGTTTCGTTCGTACGTCATGGCGAAACACCTAATGAATCGGTATCAAGGCGACTCGTTTGAAGCACTATGAGTCGACTCTTTTATAGATGAATCAACCGTTTTAAACACTGTATTCTTACAGATTTAAGCCTTAGCTGGATACTTCACTTCACTTAGAGCTGTGTTACACACTACATGGAGGGGAATTTTCAAAAACCCATAATATGGGCTCTTTAAACCAACAGCTCAAAGGATATTAATTTATATATATATTTTATCTTAAAGGGGGGTGGAGCATGTCAGACACTAGAGAGCATTTGGTTAGATTATTTGATGAGAAACTTAAGTATAGGTTTATTTATTCATTTATTCATTTTCTTTTTGGTTTAGTCCCTTTATTGGGTTCGCCACAGTGAAATGTACCGCCAACTTATCCAGCATATGTTTTATGCAGTAGATGCCCTTCCAGCTGCAACCCATCTCTGGGAAACATCCATACATAGTTATTCACACTCATACACTACAGCCAATTTAGTTAATCAATTCCCCTATATTCCTAATTCCCCAATTACCCTGTGTTTGGACTGTGGGGGAAACCGGAGCACCCAGAGGAAACCCACGCCAACACGAGAAGAACATGAAAACTCCACACAGAAACACCAACTGACCCAACCGGGGCTCAAACCAGCAACCTTCTTGCTGTGAGGTGACATCACTACTGAGCCACCACGTTGCCAGAAGTATGAGGTAATGTAAAAAAAAAAAATCATTGAATGATCCAGTTAGGCGGAAGTGACCGACTGCAAACTTTGGATGGATGATTATCAGTTTTATATTTTCTTAAAGTCAAGATAGTCACTGTTGTGGAGCACACTAGTCTATAGATAAAACTAAAACAGTGATACTAACATCTTAAACTGGTAAATAACAAAAAAATAAAAAATAAAAAAAATAACTGTTGTGCCCCGTGTGGCTCGGGAGATGAAAAAGGAAGCAGGAATTTTTCATAAAGTTTAATTATGAACACAATAAAATATTAAAAATAAAAACAAATAAATAATAAAAATAATAGATAAAAGAGCAGAATTTTGCAAAATTATAAAAATAGTCATTTTTATTTCACTTGATGCATTCGTTATTTAATGTTTGAATACTGAAATAACAGCCATCGGAAGGGGGCAGGGCGGTGCTGGCGTACCTTGGAATAAAATCCTGCAGGCGCCCCTGAATAAAGGAACATAAATCAATTTACAGTCAGAGAGAATGAAAATGAAAGCAACTAGACCGTTACTGACACCTGCCGTCAGTATTCTGTACACGCCCATCTAGATCACGCGCACATTAGTAAGTCTGTTTTGTTCTCAATAAGGAACTTAGTACAACGCTTTAAGAAAAACATTTAACAAATGTATAACTGTATATTCAACACTACGATAGCGATCTGATTAAAGGCTATTTAAAACATTCTGACGCCATCACACCGAGAAAGGAAGAACAGAGACACTGTGGGCTGTGGCGTCACTGAACCTCACCCATATAACATTTTCTCTGGGAAGGAAAAGACAAACTTCCACACGGTATGACTTTTGTTTTAAAAACAGTCAATATGCAAATATATGTAGATATATGTAGATATGATGTTCGGAAGAAAATTTTTATTTTTGTTATGTTCGGTGTCGTGTACTTTCACTTTTAGGTTTTTAGACAAATAAAACAACGTTGGTCTACAATTAATACAGGGCCTATCTAAATGTACTTTTATAATTGTTAAAGGTTTTTGTGCTCGTTTCATAATAATGCTATATTTTGCAAAAATAGGCATATAATTGATTTAATTACTAAACAAGTTCAGGTTTACAGCATATGTTCAGGGTAAATCATTTTAAGTAAATGTTCATAGACCAACACCCAAACATTTGATATCATTAAAATACTGGAAAGCAACAATAACTTGTGTTCGATATAATTTAATAACAGAAGTTTCAACTCAATATAACTCAACAATTAAAATCTGTGTATCTCTGACAATCTGATAAAGAGACAAACATCAGGAAATTAAGAAAAAGTGAACTGAAGACTGAAGACGAAACCGAAGATCATCAACATGTCCAGCCGAGAAAGCAGAGGTCAGCATTTATAAGTTTATAAATTAATAATACAATCTTTTTTAGTTAAAATAGTTTATTCAAAATGTTTATTTTGATAGATTATAGAAAATGGTTTATAATATAATTATTATGTTTCCTGATGTTGGAAACTACCACAGCATTTGCCTGGTATGAGTTATTGTCACAACCTTCACTGCAGGTTTGCTGCGTTTTCACTGTGATTAAAGCATCAGAAATATAAGTGTGATGTATTATGTACTGTAGTAACACTCTGATGCTGATCTTTCCTGACATGTTCTCAATTTAATGTTTTATAGCTGTTGATCGTGATTCTGCTCACATTAGATGTCAGAGCAAAGATCTAGATCCTCCTAACAGTAAGTCTTTATATTGTTAACACAGATAAACAAGCCAACATTATATTGTTGGTCCCTCAAAAACAAGATTGTGTGTGTGATGCTGAAGATGTTGCATTGAAACCATATTAAGTGTTAAGGGTAATACATTACAGATAGCATGAGTTATGTAGGACAGCACGGTGGCTCAGTGGTTTGCACTGTGCCCTCACAGCAAGAAGGTTGCTGGTAAGTTGGCTGGGTCAGTTGGTGTTTATGTGTGGAGTTTGCATGTTCTCCCTGTGTAGGTGTGGGTTTCCTCCGGGTGCTCCGGTTTCCCCCACAGTCCAAACACATGCACTAAAATGGCCATAGTGTATGAGTGTGTGTGTGTGTGAATAAGAGTGTATGGGTGCTTTCCAATACTGGGTTGTGGCTGGAAGAGCATTTGTTGTGTAAAACATGTGCTGGAGTAGTTGGCGGTTCATTCTGCTGTGGTGGCCCCTAATGAATAAATGGCCGAAGCTAAAGGAAAATTAATAAATGAATATTGGGGTTATTCCTTCAAAAGAAGTAATGCTAGTTACGTTAACGCCAGTATTTAAATGAAAAATAGTGTTGAGAGTAAGTGCAGATGTGTTCCTGCTTAAATGTGAAGATACATTCACTCATCTCAGTTGCACAAAAACAGATTCAATATCCCGTTAATAATGCAAACAGTGTAAACAAATACAAACTGAGAAACACAAACCCTGACTTTTGCTGAAGTGTGTTGGTTTGAGCTCACATATTCAGACGTGAATTTCCTTCAGCTTGAGCTTTATTTACTTTTGGTGTAAAAGGTCTGAACATTGTCAGAAATAGATTTTTTTGTATTATTACAAACATGCAAGCCCAGTTAAAAAAAGTAATGAAGCGCAAAAGTAATGCAATACAATACTTTTTGTTAAAAGTAACACAAGATTGTAATGGATTACGTTTAAAAGTAATTTCCCCAACACTGGAGATGTTTGACACATGTTGTTGTGTTTCAGTGAGCTCTACTTCTCCTCTGAGGATTCTTCTTCTGGGTAAAAGCGTGTCTGAGAACAGCCGTGTGGGAAACTTGATCTTGGGTCGATCAGCGTTTGACAGTGAAGCTCCTCCAGATGTTGTGGAGAGAGTCGGAGGAAGACTGAAGTACAGACACGTGACGCTCATCAACAGTCCTCAGCTGCTCCACACACACATCTCAGATGATCAGATCACACAGACGGTCAGAGAGTGCGTGAGTCTGTCTGATCCAGGACCTCATGTGGTGCTTCTGCTCCTCCAACATCAGCAGTGTTCAGCAGAAGATCAAGAGCGTGTGGAGAAGCTGCAGGACTCTTTCTCTGAGCGCCTTCTTCAACGCACCCTGGTGCTCAGCACACAAGAGCCCACTGAACCCAATCAGATCCTGCAGAAGATCATCCAGAAGTGCTCCAACAGACACGTCAGTCTTCAGACAAGCAGCTCTGCTGATCATCTTCTGCAGGCCTTTGAGGACATCGAGCGGAGCAATGAGGGACGACACCTGATTACACCAGCTCCATCTGGAGAATCACTGAGAGAACAGTTTAATGAGAGACTGAGAGAAGAGAGGGAGAGGATGGAGAAAAAGATGAAAAAGAAACAAGAAGAAAGACTGACAAGAGAGGAAGTGAAGAAAAACAAGGAGAAACTGAAATCTAAACTTCATGAGAGAGACCAAAGTTCAGTTATAAATCCAACAATGGGTAAGACATTTTTAAGAACTTTACTTTTCTTCAATTTACTTGATCTCCATTGATCATGAAAGTAAAGCTTTGCCTATTTTAAATAGATGTTTAAACATGTTCAACATGAGAAACTTCACATCATATTCCTCCACTTGTAATGGATGTGATATAAAAACGAAATAAGTTTCTCAGCCCTGCTCTTATAAGGAAGTAATTGCGTTTTTTCTACTAAACACTTGTGACTGAACTGATCTGTGGACTCAAGACCAGAATCTGCTTTGATAGAAAAGAGAAACATGTTAAATAATGTAATAATGGAGGCTTCAGGTACAGGCTTGAGAAACACCGCAGTAAGACAGTGATGGAGAATGAAGAACACAAACTTTACAATTTATTTACCAAACTATATCTGCAATCATTATTTACAGGATTTGCCTTGAATACAAAATGAATGACTGATGATGGACCATTGAATTATTATAAAATAATGTACACTCGAGGTGGTGGTGTGGTAAAGTGGAGTGGCCATTACACTTCAGCGGTGCATTGTTGTCTAATAACTCAACAGCCTAGAGTGCATTACTCTGCTTATACTTTGGTTCCTGCTACAGCCACTGTTCAGATGAAGTATTTCAGACTTTTGTCTGGTGCTTTTCAAATGGTTATCATGGTGAACTGATCTTTATGTATTATTTGTCTTTATTTAAACATTGCTGATGTTTACATTTATTTCTAGGTTTGAATGTGGTCCTGCTGGGAAAAACAGGAGCTGGGAAAAGTTCATCAGGAAACACAATCCTGGGTCGACGAGCTTTCAGCTCAAAGAAAACCACCAAACTAGTCAGACGAGATGTCACTGTGGAGTCTGGAGATGTTTTTGGGTTTCCAGTCAACGTTTATGACACACCAGGATTCTTCAACACAGTAATGAGTGATGAAGAGATTCAGCAGATGATCAATGAGAAGGTCCTCCAGAAATGTTCATCAGGTCTGTGTGTGTTTCTGCTGGTCATCAAAGCTGACAGATTCACTGAAGAAGAGAGAAAGACTGTGGAGAAGATTGAGAAGATCCTGGGAGAAAACAACAAGAAAAACACCTGGATTCTGTTCACCAGAGGAGACGAACTGGAGGAAGAAAACACGACGATACAGGAGTTCATAGAGGAGACTGAAGAACTGAAGACACTCGTGCAGAAATATGAGCACAGATACCATCTGTTCAACAACATAAAAGAGGAAGAGGAGGGGACGAGTGAACAAGTGAAAATACTGATCACAAAAATACAGAAGAATTATCTTGACACAATTGGTGAGTGTTTAAAATATTTCCTATAGTTACTTTTTTTTTAACATTATTTGCAGTGACTGAAGATTAAAAACGGTGTTCAGTTTCTGTTTGTCTTTTTTATACAGCAGGAGAAGAGAATCAGGAGCTGAATCCACCGAGGAGAAAAATAACCCAACATATTGAGCCATTCTCTCGTGTCTCCAGCTCTTTCTCCAGACGGATTGTTCTTGTGGGTAAATCTGGTGTTGGTAAAAGTGCATCTGCAAACACAATCCTGGGACAGAAAGAGTTTACATCTGTGAGTAGGATGTGTTCAGTAACCAGTGAATGTTCAGCAGCTGAGACCACAGTTTCAGTCAGATCTGTGTCTGTAGTCGACACTCCTGGATTATTCGACACACAGATGAAGCCTGAAGAGTTAATGATGGAGATCGCCAGATGTGTGTATATCTCCAGTCCTGGACCTCACGCTTTCCTCATTGTGTTCAGAATTGATGACAGATTCACTGAACGTGAGCAGCAGATTCCTCAGCAGATTGAGCTGATGTTTGGTGAAGAAGTGTTGAAATACTCCATCATTCTCTTCACTCATGGAGATCTGCTGGATGGAGAGTCTGTAAAGAAGCTGATAGAGAAGTACAGAAGATTAAAATCTCTAGTAGATCAGTGTGGAGGCAGATATCATGTGTTCAACAACAGAGATGTGAATAACAGAGAGCAGGTGGAGGATCTACTGCAGAAGATTGACTCAATGATACAGCAGAATGGAGGAGGACACTACGCTAACCAGATGTATGAAGATGCTCTGAGATTCAGACAAGAGGAAGAAGAGCAGAGACAGAGAGAAGAAGAGGAGAGAAAACTACAAGAGGAGAAACAAAGACAAGAGGAGATGGAGAGAGTGAGAAATGAGACTGAGAAGAGGCGTAGAAGTGAAGATCAAGGGAGAAAACAAGAGAAGAAACAAAGGCAAGACTGTGTGTGTAGTTAAACGTCTTTTGATTTTTTTGACACAATGAATATATGAATAACAGAAAGCAGGTGGAGGATCTACTGCAGAAGACTGAGTCTATTACAGAGGACTTAAAGCGACTCCCCCTCAGATTCATCTATACACATTTAAAACACTCATTAATATGTTACTTGTAGTTGGTGCAATAGCCTAGTGGTTAGCGCGCCGACATATGGTGCAATAGCACGTCAGGGCATCGTAAGTTCGAATTCTGGCTTGATGACATTTCCCTACCCTACCCCCTCTCTCTCTCTCCCACTTCGCTTCCTGTCTCAATACTGTCCTATCTAATAAAGGCAAAAAGGCCAAAAAAAAAAAAAAATATATATATATATATATATATATATATATATATATATATATATATATATATATATGTTACTTGTAATAGGACATAGCAATGTTTGTGTTAATTACACAATTAGTTTTCCTCTCCATATGCACCAGACACTTTCCTATTCCATCTTTCTGTGAAACAGTGTGATTTAGACAGGTGAGTGGGCTTGACAAACCAGCTGCAGGAGACACACACTCTCCTCTCTGTGTGAATGTATGTAAATAAAGAAAATGACAAAACAAACTGGTCACAGCATCCTGCTGCACTCTGCTGATGTGAAGCGCTGCTTTAACCTTCACTTGTAAATGGCTTTGAAGAAATCCTCTGCTAAATGAACAGATGTAAACTGTAGAATAAAGGTTTCTCACTCTTATTGCAATCTCTGATATAATAAATAGGATTTTAGACAAGTCAGTATTATGCATTTGTTTATTGTGAGGTATTAAGTGTAAAATAAATACATCATGCAATGTTGTCCAAGTTTAATCAGTTTATTCAGATTATCAGTCTTTCATTGCTTTTAAACCAGTTTAAACACTTTATAATCTGCTTTTAATAATGTGTATTTATTTTTTCTAATACTTGTATTTCATGTTTCTTTTATTCTTATTTTTGTCAATCATTTTGCATAAGCATCGTGTATAGTATGTGCTTTATAAATAAACCTGCCTCTCCTTCATTGAAGGATAATCATGATAAATCTAAGTGTTTAGTGTAATCGTGGTTTATTCTCTGCAGTTTACCATGAAACGCTCACCACTGCATTATTAACCTAAACTACACACACACACACACACAAACACACACACAAACACACACACACACACACACACACACACACACACACACACACAAACACACACACACACACACACACACACACACACACACACACACACACACACACACACACACACACACACCTGTGCAACAAACACATTATTTTTACTTTTTACTATCAAGTGTTATTTTTACATTCTCTGCTGCAGTTTTATGAATATTATAAACATTAAAACATGGATGACTGCAGTGGTGAGATATTTACTCCACAATAAATAAATCACATTTAAAACAATGTATAACTCATAACACATAAATTACATAAGTGTAAATAATCATAAATTACAATAGTATTTTATGGTTTGTTCATATATATGTATTTTAAATAATCAAGATATGTATGTACTAACTTTTTTATTTGTAATACAAAAAAGAGAATAAGGAAGAAATATTTTTGGTCAAAATGCATGCAAAAGCTATGTCGCCGTCATAACCCAATTCATTTTCTTTAATGCTTATAGATATACAGACATTTGACCTGAAGAAAAAAAATGAAACAAAAACATTTCCTCACTAAGGTCAAATAATTATCTTTTAACTTTATTGAGGAATTTTGTCCTGTTAAACACTTTATGAAAATAAATAATCTAATATTCATGTAAAAGGTTAATTTTGTCTTTCATTTATTGTGTAATTGTCGTCAAATTGTACAATTTTGGAGACACACTGGGCCATATATTAACAATAATATCCAAGACGAATCTGTCACTCTCAAAGATATTAGTTTTGGTTATTATGAATCTGTCTCCACTGAAGACATTAAATACAATTCATTATCTGAAAATAAGAAAGCAAGATGAACTGTCATTGCGTAATGACTTTAATTTATAAACTGTAATTAATATTTAAAGTCATAGACTAAATTCATGTCCCTTATTTTTTCTGACTCTGTACTTTTTCCGTTAATAATGTAAGTGATTGATACTTTGTGTATTGCATACAAACATTGCTTACATTTCAACTCTGTATTCTAATTCCAATATAAAGTAATTATTTCCAAAATAATACAGGAAATTTTCATCATCCATATGCTTCAGGCATGCTTTAACACAATACAGAGCTGTTCATTGTTTGAACTGATCTGAGGCCAGACTCTCTAAGAACAATGCTAAGATAGATCCCACATATGCAGTCTGTGCAGGCAGTCTCCGGCTACTCATGCTTAAAACCTTACGTCTTCTGGATTAGCTTTTATTAGACCTTTTCTGAAGTAGCACTTGTATGTTTTCATCTTTATGGACATTTATCTTTGGATCTGGTGTTCTGGGAAAGTGGTGGTTTTCTTTAAAATAAAAAAACCTTGAACAAAATAAATAAATAAATAAAAATTATATAAATAATAAAAATAAAAAAAGGGATTTTTCCACCAGCAGAGGGAGCTGTGAAAGACTAGACTCTAATTTTACGGAATTGACGACTAGATACGATCCGAACATAGTTATCATTAAATCATTAAGTTTTGATATTATTAAATATTCCAATATTTGTTTTGTTTTTAAAATTAGTTGCAATCTTTCGGGTCCATTTAAAAAAAAATAATAATCCAAATGAAAGAAAACATCACGAGTGACATGTTCTATGGTAAGAGGGGAATGTATTGTCTCTAGATGCAAGACATATTTTGGTCAATCCTCTTTTATTTATAAAGCTTCAAATCTATGGAATTCTCTCCCAACAGAAATATTCACATGTACAAACTATAAGATGTTTGTCAGTGTTTTAGCTTATATGAGATGATGCCTGGATGTTTTAAACTGACTTTTTAATTAATTAGATATTATTGTTTTAATTTTTATCTGCACAGGGACTGCAGGTGGAAAATGGCAATCCTGTTACAACTAGGCACAATATCCGTTGTGTAAAAACTTGCTGGATAAGTTGGCGGTTCACTCCGCTGTGGCGACCCCGGATTAATAAAGGGACTAAGCCGACAAGAAAATGAATGAATGAGTGAAATATTGTCTTGTTTTCAGAAATAATGAGTCAAAATGTTGTAGGTTTTTCCTTAAAATAAGCAAAATAATCTGCAAACAGGGTAAGTGAAATACTCGTGTCAAAAGAAAAATCAAGATTATTTCCCTTACTTCACTGACAGACTATTATCTTATTTTAAGGAAAAACCCACTTCATTTTGACTCATTATTTCTGAATACAAGACAATATCTTTGACCTGTCTCATAAATGCTTCTTAATATAAGAATCGTCAGATATTTGGACTAAAAACAGGACAAAAAAAATTCTTTGCAATTTGGAAACACAAAGCTATAGTGAAATTGTTTTTGTTTCCCAGCATAAATACATAATCATTCATATAACAAGATGTGTTTACTCAGTAGCCAGAATGACAGCATTAAACAAGTCTTATTAAATGATAAACTGATCAGACTGAAGTGACACTGGAGATGAACTTGAAAATAAAAAGAGTTTAAGGGTGATTTTGGTCTGTATATTGAATTGTTGTGCACATGTGTGTCCAGTAGAGGATGCTCTTGGTTAAGTGTTCACAAAATAAAGAGTTACTTCAGTTTTCTTCAGGTCACAGATATGAAAGGCTCTTTCTACCACTGAATAAATCATTAAAATGGTTATTATTGCATTCTATGTCAGAAGTCTAACTTCCTAACTAACAATTGCAACTTTTAATCCCAGAATTCAGATTTATTTTATTGTATACAGTATATGACATAATTCAGAAATGTGAGTTTAAATCCCAATGCCGACATTTTCAGAAATGAAGTCAGAATTCAGTGATGGAAAGTGACAATACTTTTTTATTCAGCGATGAAAATAGACTTTCATAAACAGTGTTCTGGAGAAAAAGTAGAAGTTTTTAGCACTTTTTTTGGTCTTTTTTTAGCGACGATGAAGGTGACTTTTTTCTTATATTATAAAAATAATATACTTTCTTTTTAAAGGGTTTTGTGTGTTTAGTTATTTTTTGACAATAACTAATATCCATTTTTCCTTATGAAAATGTAAACTTTTAATTAATATTTCAGGATAATGCAAAGATAGTGGAAATTGTTTTTTCTTTTAGAAAACGCACTGTTGGGCGGTGCAGTGGCTCAGTGCATATCGTTGTCGCCTCAAAGCAAGAAGGTCGCTGCTTAGAGCCTCAGCTGGGTCAGTATGGAGTTTGTATGTTCTCCAGGTGCTCCGGTTTCCCCCATAGTCCAAACACATGTACTATAGGTGAATTAGGTAAGTTAAATTGTTCGTAGTGTGTGTGTATGAGAGTGTATGGATGATTCTTAGTAATGGGTTGCAGCTGGAAGGGCATCCACTGTGCAAATCATATGCTGGATAAGTTGGTGGTTCATTCCACTGTGGTGAGCTCTAATTATTAAAGGAACTGAGAACATTTTTCATTCATTTTCTTTTTTTAGCTGTTTTCGTCAAATGAAAAAGAAGACCTTGTAAAGCTGAACTTATTTAACACCAGAGAAAGTGCAGTGATGATTTGTGTTGGTCACAGAATGATCGCAGTTCATCTGTAATGAACGTATGTAAATGTCTTGTGGTGTCCATATATAAGGCTTACATGGACACTTCATAGGCATAATTACTGTTAAACACTTAATATAATCAGCATAAATTATATATTAACAAAATGTCAACAAAACACCCATAAATATTATACCATGAAAAGAGAAAAACTGCTCAGATACAGAGTGGAGTGTGACGTCATAAACTCCGCCCACTCACCGGTTTCTTCCTGCTTTCATGAAGGGAAAGACAAATCTCGACGTGCAGGTATGATGTTCGCTTTAAATACAGTCTTTGTGGTAAATAAACATGTAAATATGCAACTAAATGTAATAAATTTGGAAGAAACGTATCATTTTAGTTATATTCAGCGTGTAGTAGAAACTTTAGCTGTAATTTAAAGAAACAGTTGGTGTTACTTTCGAATTGTTTAGAGAACCAAAACTGTAAGATTTATTCTGTAACACAAACTGAATTTCCACATTTAGATGTAAAGAAGTCCAAAGGTAAAGCTTTTGTAAAAGTTGTTGAGCATTGTGTTCATTTCTGGTGCAGCACTGTCAGTTTTACTGTTATAAATGATCTTGTCACAGCTTTTCTT